AGCAGGACAAGTCCAGAAGGAGCGGAGTCCGTCAAACGAACGGGCTCGTCACGCGATGTGGCTAAGCGCTGCCGTCGTCCAGACACTGATGCTCCAATTCTGCTGTGACCCCGGATCTTCGAGACCGAGAATCGAGCGGCACCGGTAGGAGAGTAGCGCGAACAGGATGCAAGTGGAGCCCAGAGAAGAAGGCAGATTAGCAGAACGAACGGAACTACCAACGATCGAGTGCAATGCATGCAGTCGCGAGAAGTGATGGTCGATTACTCTCACCAGCCGCAATGCACGGTTGGTTTGAAAGGTGGTGCTGGAACTGCCATTGGAATTAAGGACGCGTTACAATTGAAACACCAGATGAGGGTCGGGACCGAACACCGAAATTGTGAGCATCGATTGCCACAGCCAGGTTTCAACCAGCGTGGGACACGATTGCCCTGGAGGATCCATGTTTGACGGAGTTCTTACTATTTCTGAGCGTTGTGAATGCTTGAAGCGGGATTTCAGTGCGGTGGCGGTTGGATAACGGACGATCTTATTGTGACATGAACTTACGCGAAAGCTAAGGAAATAAGGATACCCTAGAATTCCTGATTCGCACATTTACTGTACACTCACACATCGATCCCTTGCAGGATCGATGTTTGAATTGTGATGCGTCCTAAGAAGCCACGGTGAGCAAGAGCTTCTACACTGACAGCCAGCGTCGCCTCGCCACATTATTTGAGGGTGAGGTGGAAAGACCTGGATGTACATGGCCCTGGCCCATTGAATCAGTTCTGGCCAATATCGTTTGACGTCCTACGTCAGTTTAGACCCGAAACACGTATGTGGTGAGGCTTGGCAATCTCGATACAAATAAACTGGACTTCCGATAAAGAACTACATGTTTGGTTTTCAAATACTTCTAGCTTCGGTAAAGTTTTAGCACAACTTATCTGGCAATGAGAAAAGTCCCTGTATACTAGCAGGTTTGATACTCTCATACACCCGGAATGTCAGAAATTTAAGATTTTTAAAAAATCCAGAGGCCTTCTATACCCCTCTAAATTTCAACCACGTAGTTGGGGTGTACACGTATATGGAGGCCAAACATTTCCCCGTATCAACTTTATAGAAATTACAATACGGTGCTTCTAGTAAATCGTGCGCTCTTATCATTATATAAGGTCGCGTTGTGTTATGAGCTGAGATTCAATCAAGGTTTCTTCTTAGGGGTATTTCTAGCGGGGTGTTATAAATCGCTAAGCAGGTATGGTACAAGCGAGTATTCGTTAATATTTGGAGGTGATTCGGGAGAGTTTCGCTTGGGTGTCCTGGAAATCCGACCGAGCCTGGGATTCCAAGATTTGGTTAATTTGGGTGGTCGTCTCGTCAGGCCGGAGCCCAGGCCCCAGGGAATTCTCTGCCAAGAAATATCTTTCCAGCCAGACCACCGCCTTCGTCCCAGAGTCTATTGCGTAGCCAGACGTGTTCCTACCTTCACGTGCACACAGACCCGTAAAAAATCCATCGTTTTTTTTTTTTTTTTTTTTTTTTTTTGTAATGCAAGATCCACTATAGCAGTGCATACAGGCATTAACAGTCGTAACTGTAGCCGATGGGCCTAGATAGCAGCCAGCCATCGTACCCATCCTGATGTCTTAAGGGGGATGGAAGATCGTGCGCGGGTTGGCCCAGATGGAGGTGAAGCCACTGGTCCATGCTAGCGTTCTTGCTGAGCTGTCACAAACCCTGCTCAGCATCCGGAATTCGTCCGGATCCAGCCGCTCCAAGGGAGAGCGCTGCCCCGGCCCCAGCATCACATCTGCCCGTCTGTACCCCTTCTTCGCACGTAGATAAACCCTCGTGTGTGTATAGAAAGCCGCCGCTATTCTGCGCAGCACCCTCCTGGACCGAAAATGACCCCTTTCGAAGACTGCATCACACCTTTCCACCCAGATCCTGTGGAATGCGATAGCAGTGAGAGTTGCCTCTGGAAAACCTGACCCCGAGCCTTCTTTTTGAAACAGCAGGTCCCCCAGCGATGAGATTTTCCTTCCCGGGTTGAGAAGGCGGAGGGCTCTTAGCAATCCCTGCACCACCGGTTCGATGCGGGGGCAGCCGAATAAACAGTGCTCCGCGGACTCTTCCCCTCCGCAATGCGGACAAGCCACGCCTTCCAGAAACTTCAGCCGCACCCCAACTTGCAGGTTACGGCAATGCAGCCGAAGCAGCACATCACGAGGCCGGTTCGGAAGCACCGCGGAGTCCCGCACGCTGATAACTCTCTTCCAGTCAATTGCATGCCCCCAATCTTCCGCCCATTTCTCCTGTTGCCTCATCACCCCTTGCTGCGCGCCAAACAGCTCTCTCAGCTGCTTGAAAGGGGGGAGCTGCCCGCCTGTGCATAGCTCTGAGCAGCGCAGCCGTACTTCTGGCAGGCCGCACACTCCAATTACCCTCCCCTCTCTCACCATCAACGGCTCCACTCTGTTCAGGTCGAAAACCGACAACTGTTCCGCAGACCCTTTCAGGGGCTCCCCAAAACAATCACATGCTCGGCAGGCAAGCCTTCCCTGCTCCACCGCATCCACCTTCCAGACGTCCACTGCGCCAATTCTTTTCACATGAGACGACACCTCCAGGAGCTCCTTCCCCGTGACAGGCGCCAGCAGTATCTCCTTCCATGCGTCCGGGATACATTTAAAGATTTTTAACGCCTTCCTCGCCTTCTTGACTGTGCCCAGCTCCCTGGCCAGTACCTCTTCACTCTTTAACGAGCACGCTCCGTCCTCCGCGCAGCTAATGAAATCACCCAGCTGAATTAACTCCAGCCCTTCTGCTGCCTTCTGACGGCCAATCGGCTTCTTCCCGTTCGGCAGAACCTGGCGGTTGAACAGCAAAGGCTCTTGCGCGATGTCCCACCTCGTTTTCGGACCATCCTTCGCTATCCTTGACTTCATGAACGCCTCACACGTTTTCCTCCACCTTTCGCTCCGCCCCTTCCAATCCTTCAGGGAGTCCTCGTGCGCCCAGAAACACCGGAAGCCCGCGGGGAGGTCCGCCGCCTTCTTCGCCAACCATCTCCCAATTCCTCTGTTACCCAGCACAAATTTCCCCACTCGCCTGGCTGCCAGGCCGCTGAGTTCAACGAAAGGGTCCCGTACCCCCAGGCCGCCGTCCTTCCTCGGCCTGAAGATCAGCTCTCTGCTCCACAGCGAGAAGTGGTGCTCTTCAGACGCCCGATTCCCCGAAATGAAGTTCACCAACAGCTTCATGATCCGTTTTCCCTTCAGCCACGATCCACCACTCCATCTCTGCCGGCCACAGGTAGGCCTTCTGGCGGGCGAGAGAAGGCAGGTGCAGGGTGCCGCCAGGCTGGCAGCTGTTCACCGAGTATACTGTCGGTGCAGTGCTCTCCCAGTCAGGGCCAAAACGAAAAAGCTGGAGAGAGAGGGGGTGGGGTGGGAAAGGACAGGGAGGCACAGGGGAATGTGTGGAGGAGGAGAGGAGTCAAGTCAACCACCGGGAATCGGGGTGGGAGAGAGGCGTCCCCCACAGGGTCCCTGTGAGCCGCCGCCATCCTCCCTTCTGCTACGATCCACCACTCCATCTCTACCGGCCACAGGTAGGCCTTCTGGCGGGCGAGAGAAGGCAGGTGGAGTGTGGGGGCAGGCTGGCAGCTTTGCACTGAGTATACAGTTGGTGCTGTGCTATCCCACTCACTGCCAAACCGGAATCGCTGGAGAGGGAAATGGGAAGGTGAGGAAAAGTTACAGGGATATGGTTCCTGAGTTGACTGAAGAACCTTGTGGAGGGCGAGAGACGGCGGCAGGTGGAGGGTGCGGGCAGGCTGGCAGCTGTGCACCGAGTACATGGTCGGTGCTGTGTCCACCCAATCAATGCCAAACCGGAAAAGCTGGAGAGGGGGTTGGGACGGTGAGGCACAGGGGAATGCGAGGGTGGGAGCAGGCAGGCAGGCTGGCAGCTGTGCACCGAGTATACGGTCGGTGCTGTGCTGCCATCTCTTACTCGCTGTCAAACCGCAAGAGCTGGAGAGTATATAAAGAGATGGGAGGAGGAAAGGTTATTGAGGGTATATAAAGGGAGTTGGTGCTTCGCGCGTGTTTTGAGTCGACTCAAAACACGACTCATATAAAGGGAGTTGGTGCTTCCGGCGCTAGAAAAGACGGGTGAGAGCTGTGGGGGTGAGGGGAGGGGAGGGGGGGGGTGGTGGGAGGGAGGGGAGTGGGGGGGAAGTGGGGGGGTGTAAAAAAGGGTTCGCGACATAGGTTGAAAAAAAAAAGGGCTGGGAGGCAAGGCAAGCATGGCAGACAGGTGAGAGGTCCCATGTTCTCACCTGTCTACAGACATTACAGCCCATCTATCCACACACATACCCACAGGACAGGCAGCCCACAGGACAGGCACCCACGGGACAGGCAGCCCACCCACTCACTTGTTCCGCCTTTTTTGTGCTCTTCACTTGCACCCCTCCAGGCACTGCTGCTGGGCTCCTGGGCCGCTCTACCATGAGAGAGAGAGGAGGACTTTCAACATTACCCCCCACGGTCAGCTGAACTAGAATTCCCGGGCAGGATTCGGAGGAGTCTGAAAGTACGAGGGAGGCTAAGATGCCTGAACCGTGCAGGAAGGAGGTGAGAAAGGCTGTGTGGGAGAGGGGAGAGACGGAAAGGAGAAAGAGGCAGTTTTTGGAATGCTTCGAAACCAAGACGCTTGTTCCGTGCAGGAAGGAGGTCAGAAAGGCTGTGTGGGAGAGGGGGGGAAAGGGGAGAGAGTTTTGGAATGTACTGGAAGTGTGGATGTACGAGGGAGACCAAGACGCCTGAACCCCGTGGGAAGGAGGTCAGAAAGGCTACGCAGGCGAGGAGCGTGAAATAGCGCAGAGGAGCGTAGAACGGCGCAGAGGAGCGTAGAACGGCGCAGATGAGCGTAGAACGGCGCAGATGAGCGTAGAACGGCGCAGATGAGCGTTAAATGGTGCAGAAACAAGCGCGTACTTTGGGCTGTTGCGGTTGTGAAGAACACGGCGAGAAGGAATGACGCTGCCGCGGGAGCAGTTGCACATGCAAGAATGGGGAGGGGGGTTGGAGGAAGGAAAGGGAAGTATGAGTATTAGGGTGAAAGGCTAGACGTAATGGATAGAAGAATAGAAAGGTCAGGCAAAAGAAAGAAAACGGAGGGGAGCAAGGAGGAGGGGGCAACGGGTGCGACGCGGGAAAAATGGACGTTGACTTTTGGCAAGAGGATGAAAGTCGACGCTGTTCAACGTGAGAGGGAAGGTTGTGTGTTGCACCTGCTATGAACGCATGGCACCTGTAAGCAGCCATGGCCGTGGTAGTGAAGAGGATGAAAGTCGACGTATTGAAATGTGAGAGTGAAGGTTGATGATTGTTGCACCAACCAGGAACGCACAGCACCTGTAAGCAGCCATGGCCGTGGTAGTGAAACCGTTCGTCGCGGAAGGAGATCGCACATGTTGACTGAAGACTGTTTGAAAAGGATTTCAGCGGAATAAACGCCTCTAACGTGTGCCAGATTCTCCAAATTTTACTAATTCTTACCCTAGGTTCCGTCTCACACACTACTTGCAAACTGGGAATTTCTGAAACCATGATAATTCCGGTGGTCTTTTGAAATCTCGTCGCCCAGAAGACGTCCTGCGACCTGTTGTCGGTCTGGGGTAGGTAGGTTCGGGTCGGCTGGGCTTGGCGCGGGTGCATTCTGCAGCCAGGGGGTGGACATTGCAGTCCAGTCCTGACTCCCCCGTGTGGTTCAACCGTCTTTTCAGTTGCGGTTTCGTCTTGAGAACATACGGGTGTCGTCTCCCTCTGTGGCTAGGTGTCATTTGTCGGTACAGTAAGCCACCAAAAGGCCTCGTCTGAACAGATTCAGTTTCATTGGTTGAGGTGTGTCGAGAAGAAACGCGTTGCAGTTCTGAGTCGCGTCTAACTGGCTCAAAAGTCTGAACTGTACCGGGTGTTGCAATTGAAGCTGTTTTGGGTTCACTCTTCCAACATTGTTTCAACATTTGACATAAGTAAAACATGAATGAATATTCCTCTTAAAAGAAACTGCAGCAGATGCCTGTCAATACGATTGACAATCAGACCATATTGACAGCAATTGACGTGTATGAATAGTTTATCAAAATGGCACACGTGAAAAAAAAAGTATAATTAGCACGAAAAAGCAGCATGCTAAGGGGAAGTGGCAAATGATGTAATCTCCAAGTACCTGGCACTGTCCAGAATGTTATGGTATCTGAACTCGCTCTTAGCTTGAAACTTGCAACGGAATTATTCTAAAGCGCAATTTCACATCCTCTCGTTCCATACCTCCCCTCTTTCCGAATCTCCGCAGATTTGCTCTCCTGCGAATGACATCTCCCCCCCTCTCTTCCCCCACACCCACCCACCCCATTTCCTCCCCTCCCCTCCCTTCCCCTCCCCTTTCCTCCCCTCCGCTCCCTTCCGCTCCGTCCCTCTCCCTTCCTCCCCTCCCCCTTTCCCCTCGCGTCTCCTCCTCCTCGCCTCGCCTCTTCTCTCCTCCCCTCTTGTCTCCTCTCATCTTCACACCGCCTCTCTTCGCCTCTTCTCACCTTTCTTCGCCTCTCCCCACCTCTGTTGGCCTCTCCTCACCTCTCTTTGCTTCTCCTCACACAACTCCTCCTTTCCTTCTCTCAGCACATTCACGTTTCAACAAGTCGAGAAGTTTCTTTGATTTTAGCCACCAGCAGATCTTTTCAAACTGTTCTGCTCCAGCAGGGCAGCCATGGCTCCAGCTGTTGCCCGTCAGATTCTAGTCAAAGTGCCTTGTTCTGCTGCCGCTGCTCTGACTCCTCTGCCGCGAACCTCATCGGCTCGTTGCCAGAGTCCGTCAACTCCGTCAACTCCGTCTTCTGGCCGGCTATCCTCAAGCTGGAACCATAGTGTCGTCGGCTTGTCGGCGCAGCGGCCATTGCAGATGACGAATGCGGGAAGAAGCTCAGGGTTTACGAGCAAGGCGACGAGCAGCACTAGATGCAGCGCGAGTAGCAGTACTCAGGCGACCAACACAAGCCCCTCGAAAGGTTTGTGCTTTACCTGCTCATACATCTATGCCGTTGATTTGATCTGCCCGCTCGACGCAGATCAGCCGTTTCTATCGGGGACAGCGTCTCATTTTTACGCCAATTCTGAAACCCTAGCATACCTAGCCGAAGCGCGTTCCGGCCACAAACAAATGGCACTCCTTGATCCCTACTAGGGTACCTAGCCGAAACACATTGTCGTAGCACGGATCGTCACCAATCATGTTCCCGCGAACACCTCTTTGATCTACTCTCTCTTTGTCCCCGAAATGCTCGTGATCGCCCAAGGAACCCAGCAAGGGTAGCCGCAGCACATCGCAGCTGTATAGGTCGTTCCCGATCACGCTTCTTCTAACCCCTGTTCGTACCGTTTTCGGGCTTCCTCGACAAAATCAAGTGCCTTGTTGCACCGTCTTGAACCATTATTCGCTGCCTTCTCTTCCTTACCTTCCTTCCGGACTCCTTCGTCGCTGCTCCCTTTCCCTCTGTTTCTTTTACCTCCGCCCCCCCTTCCTTCCGCTCGTCCTACTCTCCGATCTTCTTTCAGACGTGCTGCGCGTGTGGCGAGCGGCGGACGCGGTGTGCTTCGACGTCGAGAGTGCCGCATGTGTGGGGTTACCCTTGCCCGTCGATACCCTTTCCCTGTTCTCCCCTTCCTTCGCTCCGCTCCCCCTTTCAGACGTGCTGCGCGTGTGGCGAGCAGCGGACGCGGTGTGTTTCGACGTCGACAGCACGGTCTGCGTCGACGAGGCATCGACGAGCGATTTCCAAAAACCCTCTCAGATTTTTTTTATCATTTCTGCCTCCTTTCCTTCCACTCCCCCGTCCTTGCGCTCCGCCTTTCTCCACTCCGCTCCCCCGTCCTTCCGTCCCTCTTCCTTCCGCTCCCCCATCCACTCTGCTCCCCATTTCAGACGTGCTACGCGTGTGGCGAGCGGCGGACGCGGTGTGCTTCGACGTCGACAGCACGGTCTGCGTCGATGAGGGCATTGACGAGCTCGCCGCGTATTGCGGAGCGGGCGAGGCAGTTGCTGCCTGGACGACCAAGTAAGTAATTCCGCAGAACGAGATCGTTCCTGAACTGTTTTTTGTCAATTTGTTTTTTAATTATCTGCGGCTATTGAGAAGGCCTGACTGCCAGCCCTCAGGGCTTCAATGGCGTCCGTTCCTAGCATGATGCCGCTACATCGCAAGCAATTCACCCTGTCAGTCTCGACCTGACCGCCGCTCTGATTCGCGGCAGCGGTTTGAGGCCGTGGGGTGACATAACCTGGCTGTCTGCGAAATATAAATGCTCCTACCATTTTATGCTTTTATGCCAGTTACCATCAACTAACTCTATCCTGCTCCCTTTTCTGCCCGGAACATCTAAATTGTTTTCCTTCCTGCCCGTACAGGGCCATGTCTGGGTCGGTTCCGTTTGAAACAGCTCTGGCCGCTCGGCTGGAGATATTTAATCCATCCGCTGCTGACGTGGCAGGGTTTCTCAGAGACCATCCGCCAAGGTATGATAATATCGGCACTATTCGCGAATAGTTTTTCTATGATCAAACTCCCCCCCCCCTTCTTTTTCTGTTTTTTTTGTATCCGTTCAATTTTGTTTTGATTGTCGTCTCTTTTTCTTGTCTGTCGTCGTATACATAACCTCTTATCACATGTTGGTTACTGTATCCCTTGTATCTCCGTGCCAGGCTAAACCCCGGTATTGGTGAACTTGTTAAAAGATTAAAGGCGAGAGGAACCGAGGTGTACCTTATTTCTGGTGGCTTTCGACAAATGATTGAGGTCAGTCGTGTAATCTCTCCCTCTTCTTCGCTTCCGTACAGTCTCTCTCTCCACTCACCCCCGCGTGTACTCTTGAAATCTTGAAACTTCCCCAAACACCCCCACCCCCCCACTCCCCCCCCTTCCCAACCCATCCTCCCCGCCCGCCTCCTTTCCGCTTGCTGTCCCTCCCTCCTCTTCCCGATCTTCAAACCCCTCAGCATTTTCGCTCCCAGTCCCCCCTTCTTCGGCTCATTGTCCCCTTCCTCCTTTCATGCCTCCCCCGGTTCTCCTTCCCGCCTCCCTCCCGTTCCCCTTCCCGCCCCCCTCCCGTTCCCCTTCCCGCCCCCCTCCCGTTTCCCCTTCCCCCCTCCTTGCCCACCTTCTCCTTCCCCCACTCCCGTTCCCCCGACTCCCTCTCGCGTTCCCTGCCTCAGCCTGTTGCCGCGCTTCTGGACATCCCCGTTACAAACATCTTCGCCAACCGTCTGTTGTTCGAGGAGGGGAGCGGCGCATATGCTGGGTTCGACGCTAACGAGCCCACGTCTCGGAGCGGCGGCAAGGCCCGAGCTATCGCGCAGCTGAAGCAGGTGGGAATGCGGGGGTGTGGGGGGGTTGGGGGGAAGAGGGGGACGAGGAGGGATGTGAGGAAGGGATTTTGACGCGAGTGAGCCCACGTGTAGGAGCGGCGGCAAGGCCAGAGCTATCGCACAGCTGAAGCAGGTGAGCATGGGGAGAGGATGTGGGAGAGAAGGGGGGATATGGCGAGGGAGAAGGAAAGGGCTGGCTAGAGAATACGGGGTAAAGGGGCCAAACCCAAAGGAGGCGAGGGGGAGAGAGAGGGGGGACACGGCGGGATGTGGGGGGGGGAATCCGGGTTTGTGCAGTTGAAGAAGGACAGATAAGTAGTTACGGGTGAAGGAAACAAGTTTGCTCCACACATCAGAATAAGCTGTTGCTCCTTCTCCTTTCATTTGTTCCTACATTAATCATTGTTTCGGATTTTTCCATCTGGATGCTTCTTTTGCTCCGCGTGCTTCCTTGCATGTATGCAGGAGCATGGGTTCAAAAGCTTGGTCATGGTGGGAGATGGTGCCACTGATCTAGAGGTGAGTTCTCCCAACAGACTTTTGTTAAGCCAAAGACGTTCGTGCTAATTTCCATAGACTTTGGATATCACATGTTGGGTTGGGTGGGATAATTTCACGTGTCCATCTGTTATGAAAGACGGCTGTTTTTGTGTGGATCACTCCATGACTGACTTTTAATGATCATTTTATTGATCATAGCATTCATCATTGTGTTATCAAATCATAACTTGGGTGTACCACGCCCTGCCCTTGTCTGTTCTGCAGGCTCGGCAACCAGGGGGAGCCGACATGTTTATTGGGTACGGAGGGATTCAGGTCCGGAAAGTCGTTGCTGCTGAATCTGACTGGTTTGCGATGGATTTTCAAGATCTTATTGATAATGTATAGCATTCATAGAAGGGTAGCTGCTGCTTTCAAAAAGCCAGTTGTGCTCCTAGATTCTCCTAAATTTCTGGTGGCTGTGCATTGGAGGACCACTGTAGCTAGTGCTTCGTATGTTTATCCGGTGCATCTATCCAGGGGGGTGTGCAAGCTTCAATTGAAGCCAAGAATCGTATTCACAGGGAGTAACTTCTGATCAGGTGTCACCCCTGCAATTTCTGACTTGCACAAGAGCCAAGAACATGGATTTCTCACTGGTTTGTCATGTCTCATGTCTCTTGCAAGATCTCAAAACTTGAACTCATCCAAAACTCACATGCCCCCATTCTGTCTTGTTCTGCTGCAATCAGACCTGAACCGCATAAACCACTCGGGCTTGAAGGCGAGACCTGCCTTGGAAGCCCCTAGCCCAGCACCAGCCAACCCTGCAGCCACCCCTTCTTGCCCCTATCAACCTTGTTCTGCTGAGATCAAGACGTCACCACTTGAACCACTTAGGCTTGGACGAGAGCCCTGCTTTAGACACCCCTGGCACAGCATCAACCCTGCAGCCACATCTCTCTTAGATCTTTCGGCCTTCTCTTCTGCTGAGATCAAGATGTCACCGCTTGAACCACTTAGGCTTGGAGGAGACCCCTGCTTTGGACGCCGCTGGCACAGCACCACCCGTCCCTGCAGCCGCCCCTTGTTGCTTCTCCTCTCCTTTGCCCTTCTCATCCTTCTTGTCCAGCGACCCCTCACTGGATTCTACCAGGGGCAGTTCTGGTTGCGAGGGAGCGTCCTTGAGTGCAAGAATGTCCAGGTGCAAGAGGGAGGCTGGGGCGGATGAGTCAGAAGCGGATTCTGGAGGGGTGGGGGGCATGGGTGGGGCGGAAGAGTGGAATAGAAGGTGGGTTCGAAGAGTATAGGTGCGAAGAAGGTCCTCCTCTCCTTTTGCCCAACTTGTCCCTTTTCTCCAGTGACCCCTCACTCGGCTCGACGAGGACAGTTTTGCCAGCATGGAAACGTTTTTGAGTGCAAATGGCATGTGCAGATACAACTGGCTGAAGGATGGTCTCCGGTGTAAGAGGGCGGTTGGAGCGGATGAGTCAGACGTGCATTCTGGAGGGGTGGAGGAAAACAGGGAAAATCGTGGTGGGGGACGGGTGGGATCGGTATGGAAATGCGATTGATGTTGACAGGATGGCGGTGCAACGGATATGGATATGGATATGGATATGGATATGGATATGGATATGGAGGCCAGAGCGAACTTCAAACACGTGTAATAAGATTGTTTTATGAACACCTCGAAAACAATCTTATTACAGGATGGTGGTGCAAGCTTGCAAACATGCAAACATGCAAACACCAACATGCAATCAAATTATGTGTTGCAGTTAAAGCCACTTTCGATGAGGCAAAAGGAATTGCACATACAACTTATCCCGGCTTAAGCAAACATCATCGTGACACACCCATCAATCGCACCTGCTGCAGAAGATTAAACTATTACCTGCAGCAGTGCTTCTGGAGTGAGCCGCACACAAGAACCATACCATTTATCACACTCTCATCCTCTGCTTCAGCCCAACTGACAATGCACTGACGAACTCTCTGCCCTGAAAAACTTCCTACCTGCTGCAGAAGATTCAACTGCCACGTGCAGCAGAGCGCCTGGAGTGAGCTGCGCATTGTATAAATCCTCCTCCTCGTTCTTGATCCTCCGCTTTGGTGGCGTCGTGTCTGTTGGAAGGACAGTTACACAGAAAGAAGTGTGTTCTGAAATGAACAAAGAAAAAACAAAAGCGAACGATAAATAACCAGTGTAGCACTTACAGAAGAAGAAAGGCAGGTCCGGCTGTAGCAGACACTTGCGCACAAACTGCCGCACTGCTGCTACAGCATCCGTGGGGGCAAAGGCCGCCTCCACCACTGTGTTGTCTGGGAATCGGACTCTGATGATCGCCTGGAGGGGGTGGGAAGGGTAGAATGAACACCGGAAACGAGGAAGCGGGCTCCTATTGTTGAAGAGGTGAAGTGGTGAAGTGACGGTGGTGAACCTCCATCCGTGGGGGGCCAAGGGCGGCCGCCACCACAGTGTTGTCCGGAAAGCGGACTCTGATGATCGCCTGGAGGGGTTGAGAGGGGTAAAAAGCGGTGTGAACTCTGGAAATTAGGAAGCGGGCTCTTGGTGAATCGGTGAATTGGTGGTGTCAAACCTTCATTCGTGGGGGCAAAGGCCGAATCCTCATTTCCACCCTTGGCTCACCTGTTTGAACTGTGCCTTCCGTTGTTGCTGCTCTAGGTCCCGAATGGCTTTGGTCTTGAGAAAGCGCTCTGCCAGCAAGGGAAGATCGCATGGGACAACCGTCAAGCCAGAAAAAACAAACAAACAAACAAAAAACAAAACAAAAAAGGTGAACTCGTTCAGCATAACAAGTGTAACCATCATGGTGAACTCGTTCCTGGCCATAACAAGCACAATCACAACAGGTAGATTCGATAACGATTCACGAACCTCCCACTTTCACTGCCAGCAACCTTCTAAAATAACTTCTGAGACGTCTCAGAAATAAATCCGGCACATGCTTCTGCACGCACCTTCCTTCTTTCCCGCCATTAATCTCGAATAATCCCTGGGCGTGAACTCATAAAAGTCATCAACAACTTCCTTTCCCGGATCCGCCGCTTGCGAACCTCCCTCCGCCGTCGCCGGGCCTCCTTCTCTTTCCCCGTCGCCTGTCGTCGCAGCTGCGTCGCTCTCAACCGTCGCAGGAGTCGCAGGCGTCGCAGCTCCGTACGTGAAGACGCGAATCGGGCGACCCAGCGTCGCAACCACGTCAGGAACGCTCGACGTCATGGTGGGGGGATTGTTACTAACGAGTCGTAGGACGAAAATTTACTAATAATAGAGTGTTCTAGGCAGGGGTCCGCTTGACCAAATAAATTCCAAAACGACTCAAAAATGTACTGCTGCAAGCTTGTTCTCTAGGCACGACTCTACCCAGTCTGAATTCCAAACCGATCCAACACGGATTCAAGCAAACAGTATGTTCTAAACGAAAACATAATCAAGCGAAGAAGAAGCTATGCAAGATTCTCGAGACACTCTAGGAGGAAATCCTGCTGCAAGAGGGTAGACCGATAGGCATGTACGCTACATGTGTGGGGCGAACCATGAAATTTAATCTCACTCTTTGGCACTTAACCTCATCAAGGGCTATCAACTTTCCGTGAACCACGCCGCTAACTGCTAATTACAGCCGACGACGTCTCCTCCTGAACGCGCTGCTATAAAAAAACTAGGCTGGTCAATTGTCCAAGTCATTGTTCAGTCAAAGGTATGCTCGTTAGTGAAACATTCGCTTCTAGTACACTGAGCAGTCCATGAAGGAGCACTTCCTTACACTACGATACATCCAATATATTTATTGTTGCACCACTTACAAACTCGTAGGAAAATACAGGGAAGGCTAGGAATATAGCAAATCGATTACAGTGTAATATCCAGAACAGTCAGCAGCACTACACATTGCTAGCTGCAAGAAAGGGTTTACATGCAAAGCATTTGAAAGGAAGCAATCACTCCACAACCAACAGCAGCTGCATATGCAGCAATAGACCATCAGGGCAGGGATAAACCACAGCAAATGGGTGTGTATGTACAGTCGGTGATGTTGGCACTGGTTGAAGCATTGTTGGGGCTTGGAACTGCAGCTGCATCTTGTCATGGGACATAGGACATAGGACGTGACATGAGACATGTGACATGTGGTGTGTCTCATGTCTCATGTCCAATGTCACATGCCACATGACGCTTGCATGTCATGTCACTCGCCCCAAAAGAGGCATGTCCCAGCAACTGGGGCAGCCAGCGGCTACATGGCCCTCCAGCAACGAGTATCACAGCAGATGATCCAGTAATTGTAGAAGATAGCTCCATAACGAGTCTGGGACTCCAGCACCCTTAATCGGTCAGGCCACCAAAAGCCAGCAGTAGAAGCAGCAGCAGCCGCAGCATGGCACAATGCCACCACCAGTGCACCACCCCCTTCACCCTCCTGCTCCTTCCGCTCCAGTTCCTCCAGAATTAGATAATTTGGAAATGGCAAGGAGCTAAGATTACACGTCCGCCCCCATGCCTGTCGCCACCCTATCCCCATGCCAACCCCCCATGCCTGTCGCCATGCCTGCCACCACGCCTTTTGCTGAGTCACGGCTTCTCCTTACACCCCTTCCCGCACCAACATTGAGACGGTTCTGACATTATGTACGCGTATGAAGCTTCCGCGTGAGGTTCCTCACACTGTACCCCGTTTCCTCAAAGCTTGAAATCTTAATCGTAAGTGTTATTTTCTGCGTTATCTTCGAGAATCGGCACTCACACCAGAGGAGACCGCTGAGGCACACCCTTCCGTCGGCGATTGCCGGTCAGGCTCGGAGTGGACGGCGGGGAGAACCCGAGCCGCGGCGGAGATGACGGCGAGCCGTCAGGATACGAAAACGGCGACGAAATCGGCACGAGCTGCGGGAATTTACCCGCCATCGGGTATTTCTCCACGCGGACTCGCTTTCCTCCGCCGAATCCGCGCTGGCTCCATACGAACGACCCGTCGCATTGTCCGTCAACGTCACCGTCAACGTCACGCTCCACAAGCAGACGGTCGTCGTCATCGTCCGCGACGAGAATCCTGCCGCTGTCAGCGCCGCCGAAGCTGTCCTCGATATTGTCGTACTCCATAGAAGCAGCCAGCAGAGAAACTTCCGGCGACGAAGTCGCCGTGTTCACTTCAGGGGTAACGCGCTTCTTTCCGGTCGTTCTCGCCTTTTGAACCCACGCGGCGGACGCATTACTGTTGCCGTTATCCTCCCGCCACGTGTCAACATTTCCGCCTGCAGCAGCTGCATTGTACCCATTCGCCCGGTGTGACGTGGCAGGGCCAGTGGCTGACGCACGCTTCGCGGCATTCGCCCCGTTACACCCGGCGCCATGTCCTCCAGACGCCGACGCGACCCGCGGAATGAAAGTAAGCGTAAAATCCTTCGGGACAGCAGCGAGTTTACACCCCAGGGAGCAGAATCGGCTAGCATCGAGCAGCATTCTCTCGCACGTTTCGCAGTAGAACGGCGCTCCTTTCACGGGACGAGCCTGCGGCCGGCCGTTGAGAAACACGATCTTGGCGCTGTTGATAACGTACACCTGAATGTGCGACAGATCTAGGATTTTCGCGACTTCGTTAATTCGCACGCACTCGTGGTACGACGAGCGGCGAATTTGGAGGATGTTGTGGGGTTTCGATTCGCCGGAATTGATTGAACCGCCGGAATGGTGGTGGTTGGAGTTGTTGGAATGCTGCTCCGCAATGCAGGCGGTGCAGAGGGATTCGCCGCTACACGTGACGCAGAAATAGTTACGCTCGGCTCTGCTAGTGCCGGCGTGGCTCGGGCAGCTCGTGAAATAGCGGCCGCGGAGCAAACGAGGGAGCCATGCGGGGCAACGGCTGGGGTCGTACGAATCGTGGGAATCCATGGCTATAGAATGACTGAGTGACCTTGAACGAAAAAAAGCTCTTGTAATGCAGGAACTGCACGCGGGCTGCAGACTAATGTAATGCGGGATTCAGCTGAAGGTAATCCCTAGCAATTGTCTAGCAATTTCTGATCGGAAATGCGAATGTAGAGAAATGAGAAGGGGAGGGGGTTCGCGGCTTATGAAGGAAGGAGATGCAAGGCAATCCGAGGAACGTTGAGAATTCCAAATGGAACTGGAGCGGGGGACGGCTGAAGTGGTGGTTGCTTCTGCAGAAAACTGGCGCAACTGTCGCTCGGTTGAACAATCGAGTGGATGTGACAGGCGGGGGCAAGTCAGTTACACTAATGAAGATGCGGAATGGAGTTAGTCGGAAGCAAGTGGGTTATGGAAAGTGGCGCTTGGAGGTTGCATTATGTTTTGAGCTTTGGAGCGTGGGTGGGGCAGAAATACGCTAGAAGGTTTCCCATGCAGTGCAGCGATTATGTGGCAAATCTCGAGGTTGACTTCAGGGAAATACGAACGGTTGAGATGGTTTAAACATATATTTATGTCTGGTTGGGTTGGGTTCGGGTGTGTGTTCCTGCGCGTGCAGTTGCATTCCGTTCCGTTTTCGTCCCGTCGAATGGGGTCGCGTGGGGCTGACCCGGCTGGTTGCATTGGCTGCAGTGGCAGCAAGGGTAGCGGAGGCAGCCAGGATGGAAAATGAAACGTCGAGGAGCACACACGAGGCGAGGTGAGCAAACCCCTAGGCCAAGCAAACAGGCACTCCATGCCGCACAAGAGGAGACGAGGGAGCCCACCGTCTGTAGTTGCTGGTTGGCTATGATTTGCCAGCCATGCGACGAGACGCGAGGGACGAAAGTGCCCCGAAAAATGTCGGCAGTTCCCACCATGGCTTGCGGTTGTATGGATTCCACACGTGCATGCCTGGAAACCAGCATTGAGTTTCAACTCGATATGAGCGGTTGATCTCGAAAAGTTCGCGGGATCTTTTGACCTGCAGAGGGGGAGGGCTCTGTTCTGAGTGAAATTTTCATCTGGTTCGTCCGCTGGCCCTTGGACTTCACGCATTGCGACTCGGGGACGGTTGCGATTCAATGCATGGGGGATTGGGTTGATTTGTGGTGGAATTGCCAACTTCAGGTGACTCGAAACCATTCGAAACTTCCGCCACAAATTGACCGTGAGCTATCCCTTCGCGAAGGACCAGTCCCGTCATGCGTCGCTGGCGAAACTGAGGTTTTTGGTGGCGAGGGGCTCGCCTCAGCCAGCCGTCGCCTAGACTGACAGTCTGCTCCAAAATTGGCCCGTGAATGGACCTTGGTGGTTGAGAAACTGACAGGCAACTTGGCAATGTCGTTCAGTTTGGCGCGCAGAAAACTGAATGGGTTTGTGTTGTGGTGTGGATGCGCAAAAGTCTATCCCCCGCGCTTCGCGTTCCTCGTTCTCTCCGTCCGCCAGGTTCGTGGTCTGTGGATCCAAATGCCACATCAGCGACCTCGATTTGAAACGATCGCCAGGCGGAAGACTCGATGACGTCAGGTGTCTGCTGCCCTGAGCTGCCCTGAAAGGGACTCGCTGCTTTCGCGATGTTGCTTGCGACGCGATCCGTGAAATGGACGGACCCCAAATGGACCTGTTAGAGCTTCACAAGCAGGTCAATTGGTTGGCCAGCCTGGCGGAACCCCCTCACAGTTGCCGCAAGCCCACTGGAGTGGAACTTCCACTGTGGAGGGCCTTTGGGGAGCTGACGTGACGTGTGAGACCAGGCCACTGTGGCATTGCATTCAGCATGCAACAACCTTGAGACTTCAGGTGACCACCGACAAGACTCTGGGGAACGAGAAGGGGAATGAAAAGAGATGACGTGGCAGCGGCAGAACACACAAGACGTGTAGTGTACAGTTTGCGGCATTTGCACAATTATATCGGTACAATGTGTGCAAATCCTCGGTATGTGAAGAGCCACCAATCAGTATTGAATCAGCAGTGGTTCACATCATTCTAAGACAACAATATATGTGGCAAACAACTATACAAGATGAGATCTACACTCAGAGCTTTGACTTCCCCGACCTGGAGGCTATAAACACTTTCATGTTCTCAAAGTCTTGAGGTGTCATCTGCTTGTAGTACGCCCGTGCTCTCTCCTGGAAAAGGGCCACACACATGAGAACGAGAGGACAGGACGAGTGATGTGGGAAATGAGGGAAGAGAAGGGGAGTGAACACGGAGGGCAGACGAGGCCAGATGAAGGCAGCTGCATGTATGGAAGAGGGCAAGAGTAGGAAGGGGAGGGAAAGAGCGCGCATGAGTAGGGGTTTCGAGAGGAAAATGGGAGGGCTTACCGTTCCTACCCGCTTTTTTTTTGCCAATCACAAGAATATTGATCATTGCCTTGAAACGAACCACCATGCCAGGATGATCATCTCTTTGCACTGGAAGACAAAAACAGACTCACCGTCTCTAGCCGCCTGCCTTCACTGAGACTCAGACCGATCCCATCATTGCTCACTGCCTTGTAACGAAGCACCATGCCAGAATGGTAACCACCAAAAACCTCTGCACTGACAAACAAAAGAATCAGCAAGACTTACCGTCTCTAGTTGCCTGCCTTCACTGAGGGTCAACCCAATCCCATCATTGATCACTGCCTTGTAACGAAGCACCATGCCTTGATGGTTGGCGGCAACGGTCTTGGCAATGGCGATTGCTGTCGGCATGAGCTGGTCTGCCTCAACCACTCGGGACAACAGACCCCACCGCTCCGCCTTGTCTGCGCTGACCGGATCTGCTGTCAGAGAGACCTCCCGCGCCCTGTTCACACCAATGAGGTGAGGAAGCTTCTGTGAAAGGCCCCATGATGGGAAAATGCCGAACCTGGTGGTCGTTCGGGAGAGAAGAGGGGACACAGTGGAAGCTTAACGAGAGTTTTGATAGAGACAACAATATTATTGTATTCAGTGATTCTTACAGCAAACTTTTCATAAGTGTTCATCATTTTTTTTTTTTGCGCCTAATATTGACACCTACTGTGAAACATTTTTAGCTCCACGACACACATCAGCTGCTCCATACCCCGTATAAGCTCGATCACTTGCTCGTGTGTCAGCGAACTTCGTGTGCGTGTTGTGAATGAGAATGTCACAAGCGGTCTCATCCCGTCCCCCTTATGATCCCACTCACTTGCTGTGCGTGTCAGCGAATTTGGCATTCGTGCTGCCGACGAGAATGGCATCGTGCATCGCTCCATCTGCACCACCACGTCTGCCTCCTCATCCGCCACGTCCCCTTGAAACACGCTCTGGGCCGCTGTGAGATCCTGCAGGGGATCAAGGAAGAACAAATCAGCTTCATCTGCACCACCACGTCTGTCTCTTCGTCTGTCACGTCCCCCTGAAACATGCTCTGCGCTGCTGTCAGATCCTGCGGGAGATAAAGACATGAAAGGAGGATAAGGATATGTAATGAGCTCCATCTGCACCACCACGTCTGTCTCTTCATCCGTCACACCCCCCTGAAACACGCTCTGCGCTGCTGTCAGGTCCTGCACGAAAAAATTGGGGAACAAAAACAGTTCCTTGTGAATCATAACATCTCGTCAATAACATCACCACTGCGTTTGTCGCTTCATTCAGATCCCCTGGACCACGCGTTCTGATTTGAGGGGTTCGGGTGGGGAAGAGACGATAGAACACAAGAATCACCACGGACAGCCTCCGGATTCCTCGCAATGCATCGTCTGCTCCACCGGGTCGGCTCTCATCCGTGGTCGGTCTTCTCGTTCAGCAATGCCGTTTTCGATACGATTCCTATAAAATCATCCCCTTTTTGCAAAACTCTCCACTCCACTCAATCCTCGCCACTATCCACTGCTTCCACATCACTCTCTGCACATTTCTCACCACTCTCCACTCATCCTCATCACTCTCCACTCCTTACTCACCACTCCAGCGCAGAACGCGCGGCCAGCGCCAGTGAGAATGACAGCTCTCGCCTTCCCTTCCAAGCGAATCCTCTTAAACGCCTGAGCGAGCTCTCGCATCATGGGCCGCGTCAGCGAATTCAACGCCTCGGGTCGATTAATCGTCACAACTATCACAGGGTCTAGCCAATCCACGAGGATCCTATCACCAGCGGGTCCGGCTACGCCTGCGCCTGCTGAACCTGACATTGTCAAAAACTCTGGTTACTGATTGGTCAGAAAGGCCTGAAATTGTCGGTTTAATCAACGGGAGTTTCGACCGAGTGACTGCTTGACTACGAGAGGTTGGGCAGCTACTGGAACGAGCAGGACAAGTCCAGAAGGAGCGGAGTCCGTCAAACGAACGGGCTCGTCACGCGATGTGGCTAAGCGCTGCCGTCGTCCAGACACTGATGCTCCAATTCTGCTGTGACCCCGGATCTTCGAGACCGAGAATCGAGCGGCACCGGTAGGAGAGTAGCGCGAACAGGATGCAAGTGGAGCCCAGAGAAGAAGGCAGATTAGCAGAACGAACGGAACTACCAACGATCGAGTGCAATGCATGCAGTCGCGAGAAGTGATGGTCGATTACTCTCACCAGCCGCAATGCACGGTTGGTTTGAAAGGTGGTGCTGGAACTGCCATTGGAATTAAGGACGCGTTACAATTGAAACACCAGATGAGGGTCGGGACCGAACACCGAAATTGTGAGCATCGATTGCCACAGCCAGGTTTCAACCAGCGTGGGACACGATTGCCCTGGAGGATCCATGTTTGACGGAGTTCTTACTATTTCTGAGCGTTGTGAATGCTTGAAGCGGGATTTCAGTGCGGTGGCGGTTGGATAACGGACGATCTTATTGTGACATGAACTTACGCGAAAGCTAAGGAAATAAGGATACCCTAGAATTCCTGATTCGCACATTTACTGTACACTCACACATCGATCCCTTGCAGGATCGATGTTTGAATTGTGATGCGTCCTAAGAAGCCACGGTGAGCAAGAGCTTCTACACTGACAGCCAGCGTCGCCTCGCCACATTATTTGAGGGTGAGGTGGAAAGACCTGGATGTACATGGCCCTGGCCCATTGAATCAGTTCTGGCCAATATCGTTTGACGTCCTACGTCAGTTTAGACCCGAAACACGTATGTGGTGAGGCTTGGCAATCTCGATACAAATAAACTGGACTTCCGATAAAGAACTACATGTTTGGTTTTCAAATACTTCTAGCTTCGGTAAAGTTTTAGCACAACTTATCTGGCAATGAGAAAAGTCCCTGTATACTAGCAGGTTTGATACTCTCATACACCCGGAATGTCAGAAATTTAAGATTTTTAAAAAATCCAGAGGCCTTCTATACCCCTCTAAATTTCAACCACGTAGTTGGGGTGTACACGTATATGGAGGCCAAACATTTCCCCGTATCAACTTTATAGAAATTACAATACGGTGCTTCTAGTAAATCGTGCGCTCTTATCATTATATAAGGTCGCGTTGTGTTATGAGCTGAGATTCAATCAAGGTTTCTTCTTAGGGGTATTTCTAGCGGGGTGTTATAAATCGCTAAGCAGGTATGGTACAAGCGAGTATTCGTTAATATTTGGAGGTGATTCGGGAGAGTTTCGCTTGGGTGTCCTGGAAATCCGACCGAGCCTGGGATTCCAAGATTTGGTTAATTTGGGTGGTCGTCTCGTCAGGCCGGAGCCCAGGCCCCAGGGAATTCTCTGCCAAGAAATATCTTTCCAGCCAGACCACCGCCTTCGTCCCAGAGTCTATTGCGTAGCCAGACGTGTTCCTACCTTCACGTGCACACAGACCCGTCAAAAATCCATCGTTTTTTTTTTTTTTTTTTTTTTTTTTGTAATGCAAGATCCACTATAGCAGTGCATACAGGCATTAACAGTCGTAACTGTAGCCGATGGGCCTAGATAGCAGCCAGCCATCGTACCCATCCTGATGTCTTAAGGGGGATGGAAGATCGTGCGCGGGTTGGCCCAGATGGAGGTGAAGCCACTGGTCCATGCTAGCGTTCTTGCTGAGCTGTCACAAACCCTGCTCAGCATCCGGAATTCGTCCGGATCCAGCCGCTCCAAGGGAGAGCGCTGCCCCGGCCCCAGCATCACATCTGCCCGTCTGTACCCCTTCTTCGCACGTAGATAAACCCTCGTGTGTGTATAGAAAGCCGCCGCTATTCTGCGCAGCACCCTCCTGGACCGAAAATGACCCCTTTCGAAGACTGCATCACACCTTTCCACCCAGATCCTGTGGAATGCGATAGCAGTGAGAGTTGCCTCTGGAAAACCTGACCCCGAGCCTTCTTTTTGAAACAGCAGGTCCCCCAGCGATGAGATTTTCCTTCCCGGGTTGAGAAGGCGGAGGGCTCTTAGCAATCCCTGCACCACCGGTTCGATGCGGGGGCAGCCGAATAAACAGTGCTCCGCGGACTCTTCCCCTCCGCAATGCGGACAAGCCACGCCTTCCAGAAACTTCAGCCGCACCCCAACTTGCAGGTTACGGCAATGCAGCCGAAGCAGCACATCACGAGGCCGGTTCGGAAGCACCGCGGAGTCCCGCACGCTGATAACTCTCTTCCAGTCAATTGCATGCCCCCAATCTTCCGCCCATTTCTCCTGTTGCCTCATCACCCCTTGCTGTGCGCCAAACAGCTCTCTCAGCTGCTTGAAAGGGGGGAGCTGCCCGCCTGTGCATAGCTCTGAGCAGCGCAGCCGTACTTCTGGCAGGCCGCACACTCCAATTACCCTCCCCTCTCTCACCATCAACGGCTCCACTCTGTTCAGGTCGAAAACCGGCAACTGTTCCGCAGACCCTTTCAGGGGCTCCCCAAAACAATCACATGCTCGGCAGGCAAGCCTTCCCTGCTCCACCGCATCCACCTTCCAGACGTCCACTGCGCCAATTCTTTTCACATGAGACGACACCTCCAGGAGCTCCTTCCCCGTGACAGGCGCCAGCAGTATCTCCTTCCATGCGTCCGGGATACATTTAAAGATTTTTAACGCCTTCCTTGCCTTCTTGACTGTGCCCAGCTCCCTGGCCAGTACCTCTTCACTCTTTAACGAGCACGCTCCGTCCTCCGCGCAGCTAATGAAATCACCCAGCTGAATTAACTCCAGCCCTTCTGCTGCCTTCTGACGGCCAATCGGCTTCTTCCCGTTCGGCAGAACCTGGCGGTTGAACAGCAAAGGCTCTTGCGCGATGTCCCACCTCGTTTTCGGACCATCCTTCGCTATCCTTGACTTCATGAACGCCTCACACGTTTTCCTCCACCTTTCGCTCCGCCCCTTCCAATCCTTCAGGGAGTCCTCGTGCGCCCAGAAACACCGGAAGCCCGCGGGGAGGTCCGCCGCCTTCTTCGCCAACCATCTCCCAATTCCTCTGTTACCCAGCACAAATTTCCCCACTCGCCTGGCTGCCAGGCCGCTGAGTTCAACGAAAGGGTCCCGTACCCCCAGGCCGCCGTCCTTCCTCGGCCTGAAGATCAGCTCTCTGCTCCACAGCGAGAAGTGGTGCTCTTCAGACGCCCGATTCCCCGAAATGAAGTTCACCAACAGCTTCATGATCCGTTTCCAGATCTTCTCTGACGGCGGGTAAACCTGGCCTTGGAAAGCGAGGATCGGGCAGACGTAAGCGTTCACCACCGCCACCCTTGCTGTCGTGGTAAGATGGTGAGAGCGCCACTTCACCAGTTCTTCCGCCGCCCTGGCCAGCGCCTTCTCCCAGGTGACCTCAGCACTCCCGGACGGGGATACCCAAACACCCAGTAGCCGCTCTGCCTCTTTAGGTTCGACCCACGTGAAGTCTGACTCCCCAACTTTTCCTTTTTCCAGGTTCTTCCCCAGCGGTAATATTGCCGACTTGTCTTTGTTCACCCGGAGGCCAGAGCGGGCCTCAAACTCTTCCAGGAGCGCCTCTGCCCGACCTTTCTGCTGCTTCCCTTTCAGCACCAGAGTCGTGTCGTCAGCATATCCAAGGTAGGCCAGCCGGTCCCCATGGTCATCACATATACCTAACCTCCTGCGCTTCGCTTCTTGGCAGACTTGCTCCACCGCACACAAGAATAAGTACGGCGCGAGCGGACACCCTTGGCGGACCCCCTTGCAGACCTCGACGCGATCTCCCAGCCATCCGTTGACCAAGAGGCGCGTGAACGACCCCCCATGCAGGCCCTTGCACCAGCCGATGAACTTCTCGGGGAAACCCATCAGCGCCATCGTGTCGAAAAGGAAGGACCGGGACACCGAGTCGAAGGCCTTTTGAAAATCCACCATCATCAAATACCAGTCCTCGTTATCATTGTTCGCGGCTTCGATCACGTCAGCCACCGTCGACACCGCGTCCGAGAGCCGCCGACCAGGGAGGAAGCCGTGCTGCTCCTCCGAGATGACCGTCCCCAGCACCTTCTTCATTCGGTTAGCCAGCAGCTTCGCCACTACCTTGTAAGAGCTTGTCAACAAGGTAATTGGCCTATAATTCTGCACCAGCTCCTTCGGGCCCTTCTTGTGCAGCAGGATAGTCACCGCCTCCTGCACCTCCTCCGGGAGCACCGCCGTCTCTTCAAACTTTTTGATAAAACCCATGAAATCCTCCTTCAACAGGTCCCAGTGTCGCTCGAAGAGCTCCTTCGGGAGGCCGTCGTTCCCTGGGGACTTGTCTCGCGCCATACCAATCAGCGCCACGTTTACCTCCTCTTCTGTCCAGCCCGCATCCAGCAGTGCTGCTTCATCTCCCTTTATCGTTTTACCCACATCTGGCTTCCAGCATGGCAGGCCTGATGGTGGAGCCTCTGCGAACAATTCTGCGTAGAAACCGGATGCAGCTTCCAGAATCCCTTTCGTCCCCCTCTGCTCTATCCCCTGCACCGTCAGAGCCGGGATCATCGTTCTCATCTTCTTGGACTTCACTTTCACGGAGAGTACCTTCGACGCAATTTCACCCTTCGTCACTTCCCTCACCCCTGCAAGGAGGTGCAGCCTCTCATTCTCCCCTTTCAGGTACGCCTCCAGCTGGGCCTCCTTCTCCAGAAGATCCACTCTTAACTCGTCACGGTGAGGTTCCCGCAT